AAACATGTCTTATTTAGGGGAATAAAGAAAAAATGGCCTATTCAAATGCTGGAAGTTGTTATTTACGTGTCAACGCCTGAACGCAACATAGGCTCCGCTCCATTGACTGTGTGCACAGTTTGGGCCTGGCTCGGTTATAAATGTCTTGGACTTGGGAAAATGCGGCCTGAGCCGCGCTCTAGTGTGCTCACCTGTGTCTGTCTGTTACGCAAAATAATATAACTTTAGTTTATGAACAGATAAGACGGAGCCCTCTCCTCTCCTCTTATATGCTTTACTCACAAGTGTGTGAATTGACCTGGTTATGAAGCTCCCGCAGCGGCAAATAATATAACGGTAGTTTCTAAAGAGCTAAGACGAAGAAAAAATTAAAATTAAAAAATCAGCAGTGGGGTGCGCTGCTGCTAGTTGCATATAGGGGAAACACTGAAAGATGGTGGTTTCACTGAACAAATGCCTATTTTCAGCACATTTTATGCTGTTGCATTCAAAGCAATATCAGCCTAATAATTCCAGAATGATTCATTCTCACCAAGTAGAGCTACTAAAGTCATCTGGTGGAAAATAATGCATCCTTAAAAAAAAAAAAAATCGCAATATATATCCCTGGGGGCAAAAAAAAAATCGCAATGTAAATTTTTCCCAATATCGTGCAGCCCTAACGTAGTGTGACGTATTTACCATCATCACGTAGAGTCTATGAGGGCAGAGAATGCTAAGAAAGACGGTTCACTCTGCTCTGTCGCCAGGAACAAACTGGGAGGCAAAGATCCTCTCTGAGGAAGAGGGTTCACTTTGCTGCAGGGTTCACCAAAAGGTTTTTTTTTTTCTTTTAATAAATTGAACACACATTAAAAGAACATACAAGATCCTGTAGAGAATTAATACAAATAATACAATACAATCAACATTGTCAAATTAAATGAAGGAAGAGGATTTTTTTAAAGGCAAATTAATATTGGGGATTTATGTAAAAATATCCATAGAGAAATATAAATAATTATATAATTAAAGATATGTAGGCTATGTTAGGTGAATACTCCTGTCAGTGACCCTGACCACTGGCACTGGCAAAAGATCTGGAGTTGGTCCCTGGACGCTGCAGTGTGGCTGCCCACTGCTCCCAGTGTATACAGTAGGATGGGTCAAATGCAGAGGTCAAATGTATGTAATGTGCTGAGAAAGGACATTAAAGAATAACTAGGAGATAACAAAAGAATAAAGAGATTTCAAAGACTTAAAAAATAAGGGACATGAATCAAAACAAGAAACGAGATATATCCCCAGTCATGCACACCCAGTTTTAATAAACTCAATACTGTTTTTCAACACATATATTGTTTTGCCTTCATTCAATGTAGTTAGCATATTGTTATTGCGCCATTGGTTTTGGCCTTGGTGCCCCACATTTTGGCCGTGATGCCCCAATAAATTTATATTTATCAAAGGCCAAAGTGGCCTTGCCCTAGAAATATCTTAACTCCAGGCCTGTAATCATGTATTTCCTCTCCTGTTTCTGGGCCAGTTGCAGTGTGCTGGTTTTTTATGTGCTGCTGCCTCCATTGGCTGAGCGTCTCTGCTGACGTAAGATATAAGTCATGAGCGAAAATATGCACCACACAGCCAGAAAAAGAACCTCTTAGGCAGGGCAAGTAAGAATTTAGATGGGGCAAGTAGATTCGAGAAGTGCTTGCCCGGCAGGGCAAGTAGGAAAAAACCTTAACGTCGGACCCTGCCATGCAAATGCTCAACTATCGCTGCTGTCATACTCATATATATGTCATAAGTTGATGCATAGTGCCTACTATAGATATAAATCCCATGTATAGCCTTTTTTTGTGACTAAACAAAATTGTATTAATATATCTCTATATAACATAAAGGCTACATGCATTCAAAAACAAATGTTTTTAAATAAGGACAAGACTATACCTCAATAAATTGGCCATTACTTACATTAGAAGACCTTATTTTGTTATTTTTCAGCCATTTTTTATTCTATTACACTGCGCAGCCTGATAGACTGCAATGATAAAATGTATTTTCAGCCCCTTTGCAGCCTACACTTCTACATATTTCTGTATCATGATGTGGTTAAACATTATTTCTGGCCCACACAATTCAAGTAACATTTTAATTGACCAAACTATCAGTAACTATTTTACACAATTTTTATACTTTTTTTTTTTTTTTTTGGCAGTTGAAAAACCTACAACATCATGTCCATTTTGCAATTAATTGTGGGTTATTAAATCGGTGAAGTCTGCCAAAGTCTGCACCCCAAGCAGACTGTCTGGAAGTCTGCAGAAAGTCCACTTTAGGCTCCTTGTGGACTGGATGACAGTGTAGCTTTGGACAGCCCTAAGCACTCCCAGATTTCCCAGGATCGTACCCGCAAAGTCTGCGAGTCTGCAAGTGCAGTAAAGTCATTTGGATTCAGTCAGACAGTTTCCTGACAGTTTCCGGCAGCCTTCAGTCCATACAGTAAGTCACAGAAACACGATATGATGACGATGTCCGGCGCTATGCTGATTCATTAAAATATTATCAGACTCATGTATCAGTTTGTTCTCAGTCTCCAATTATTTTAATTAGGATAGATAGTTTTAAGTATGATAGATGATAGATTAAAATGCTTTACAGGCTTTCTGTAATTTATGTTCATGGTTCAACCTCCATTTTACATGAATTCTCATGTAAATCAGCATCATATCAGTTAGCTGCTCTGCAGCTGAACAAACGTGTCGCCTCAACTACATAGGCTAACTAATTGTGTCTGACTTTAAGGTTTATATTTTCAGAAGAAAAAAAAACAAACAAACCAACAGCTTTTATTAAAGATCAGTCAGATATAGTCAGGGCTTCACATCTGTACAGATGTTATTTTAAGAATTCTCACACCCCACTGACCACAAGTCTCTGTGATGTTAAATACTTCAATTGTTAAAACAATCCAATGTTAATACACAGTAGACTACATATAGTTTATGATACAGTTAAAATGGCCAAAAATGTGAATAATTGCATTGCAGGACGATTTAAGGTGCGCAACCAAATTTTCCTGCTTGTGCTCCTGAAATTTTCAGTTAGAGGCTGCAGTGCTCCTACTAAAAAAAAAGTTAGTCTGGAGCCCTGTGAAATCCATTTTCAGATAACGTTTTATTAGACATCACATTAATTTTTTGTTTGTCTGAACCGACATCTTCATGAGGCAGTCTGACAGGAATAGAATGCAGTTATACTGACAAAATAACCATGGAATGTTATGGCATATTCATCACAGTCCCATATCGAGACAATTCGTGGTATCACCAAATCGGGATATCACCAAATTCAATATACTGTTTAATCCCTCGGATGATACTGAAAAGATGCCGTTTAGGCAATGGAAGCAACAAAAGGTCACTGTTTGTTCAAACAGGAGCTTCTGTATGAAAATAATAGTGAAGAATCCTGACTGAAAATAAGTTACATACCCAAGAACATTTATAAATATGAATGTCTGTCTGACTTTCCTCTTGAACCCTGGTTTAGATATGACAGTGTCCTGAACAGATGTGTAACAGCCTCTCATAGCCTGGAATCAAAACAAAGTTAAGCTATTGGCAACCCAGGGAGTGAAGTGCAACAAAAAGGCCATCAAGGATAAGATCTCCTATGTGCTTCCTGATAAATGCTCACTCACATCTTACATAAGTGCACCAACGCTCTAAGCATGACATGACGTTACAACACAGCGTTACCCAGCTCTGTGATTTGCTTGTCCTATCTAAATTCACTCCTGTATATAACCTGATCTGACAGCAAAATGTTTTAGAAAGGCACCCATGATTCCCTGGGATGTAAAATACATTATCTGACGTTGCAGTGTATACAGGTCTGGTAGACCCTGTCTATCACTGATCAATAAATGGCGCCTACAGTTTAAAAAAATGTCCACAGGCTAAATTCTAACTAAACTAACGTTAAATGCAGCGACAGCAACTTTCAGTCCAGCTGTCTGCTGTTCTGCCAAATGTCCCGACTATGCAGCTAACATTAGCTAGCTCGTGTGTGTACAGTTCAGCAGAAGCAACCTGACAGTCCCCCAGCACAAACACCGACGATTAACGTTAGTCCGTACCACATAGGCTTGAAATCCGCCAGACGGGGGCTAAAACAGTCAAGAGATATTTCCCTCTAAGAACATGGCTGAGTCAACCCAGCTAGCCAACTGTCTTGCTAATAGACAAGTAACGTTGAGCTAGTAGCAGTACAGACATTGCCGTTAACTTACTCAACATTAGCTGGCTCAAGTAATTAAAAACTAAGCTAGTTAAGTGGCACACTGTATTGTTAGCTAAAAAGTTAGCACACATTCAAAGCCGTCTCTACACAACTGTTTCGCAAATATTGTCAAGCCAGCACATCCTTCCTCGTTAGCCAACAAAAGGCTCACAACCAACGCTTTCGTAGCCATGGAGAGAACGTCACGCCAAACACAATCCAAAAATCTGTCTATTTTCCGTGACCTTGCTGATAGGCGACGGCATGCGCCTCATAGAATAGTAGTTAGCTCCAGTTCAGTATTGACAGGACGAATAACCCAATTCGGGATGGACAGGATCCATACAATGATATCTAACTACAAACTATGTATGACTTTATGACTTCAAACGCTTCCTTCTGCAACGCAGCGTTGTGTATTGTAGTTGAAGGCGACTGAAGAAAATATCGGCTGAGCTTACATTAAACTTAACATGTTATTAATCGTGTAAGGCTTTCCGACAATCGTCCATGCCGAATTGACTAATAGATCCTAACAAATCGGTAGAGGCCGCGTATTACTTTCTGTCAGGTGTCTACCATATTAAATAACCAAGGCCACTGAAACCGCTAGATTTTAATGGGTGGTCAGGACGTCCTCCTCCTATATACCGGGCTAGCCTAAAAGCTGTCAGTTATCAGTTAGCTAAGCTAGCGCAACTAAGGTGGATTTAGCCAATTGCTTTTCGGCTTACCTCTCTTAACGGCCTCGTCATACGACAGGAATCCTATCCTCGACTCTTTGGCCCCCATGCTCCCCTCATTTCATTGCGGTGTGGGTAAATAAACGTCGTCCACTGAGTTGATAGCTGAAAACTGTCGCCTTGGCCGTTTGTGAAATGGGTTCCTGCTGGTGTGTGTATGTGGTGAACGGGTGAATGTTTTCAGCGACGCCTCCATTCTGTCACATGATCTTACTCTACAGGTCAGTTGATCAGCTTCTGTCTTGTAAACACAGCCAATATGATAGACAGAGGGGTTTTATTTTGATCTCAATAACTTCATAAAGTTTTGCCCTTCATCTCGCAAATTACAAAAAGGCATTAAATGACTCATTATGCGCAGTCACACCGAGCTGTCAATACGTGTGTGTGTGTGCGGAGTGTAGTTTTGTACAGAAGTGCGTGCGAGTAGCACTACCCTGTGGCTGTTCAGCTAAATAATGCTGGCTTACACCCATCCCCAATAGTGGAAAGCTGCAGTATCGGAGGCTGCAGTTTCAGGACCGTTTAATTTTCGTCACAGCGCCACCTATTGAGCGGAGGCTGCAATACCGGAGGCTGCAGTTTCATCTTTTTCTTTTTTTCCCTCTTTTTTATTCTTCTTTATTGAAGATATAGAACAATAGAACAGTATATGGGGCATTCTACCGATTTTGTGCAAAGTGCTGTCCCTTAACAAAAAAACCAACAAAAATAATAAAATTGAGTATTCAGACATAGGCTAGATATTTACAAAGATTATGTCATGACCTATTTAAACTCAGAACATTAAATGAGAAAGTGATACACTAAATATATACAAAATCACCATTTATAGGGTACTTTCTATTGGGAAGTAGCTGTCCCCAACCCTGACCTCTAAAATTCAATTCAAAACATTTTTCATATTTTTTTCAAAAGTGTAATTTAAAACATCTTTGTGATTAAGTTTAAACAGAAGTTGAACGATTTAGATGTATTGTGGGATTAATTTTTAAATTAAGAAACTATGCTAAAAAAAATAGTGTCCCTTGTTTTCATGTCACTACCAAAACACAAGAGTTTTAATGCTCTGGTTGAGTCTGGATTTTAGCCACACCCCTGAATTTCTGAGAAGGGGGGTAGTACTGCACCCCCATCCCAGATGGCTGCATGGTAAGTCGCTGACTCCCATCATTTTTTAAATAAATGTCTTCCAAACTCTGAAAATCATTGTGTAACTTTTAAAACTGTCACTACCTAACACACGTTCTCTTCAATTATGTAAAAATTTCGGGGGTTATGCAAAATATTATGTTTTTCTGTGTGAACAACTCTTCAATCATGTGCTTGTTAGCCATGTGACTGCTAGCATTCTTTAATTATCCTGAAAAATAGCTAGGAATGTCACTACCGAAACAGTCACTACCGAAACCTATGGTAAAGTTTCGATAGTGACATGATCATTTCGGTAGTGACAAAATGGAATGGTCAGTAGTTAAACCCCATAATTTTGTGGTCCAAAGTCTTGCTCTTCTCTGCTCTGCTCTGCTCTGCTCTATTCTGCTCTACTCTACCCTGGTCTACTCTACTCTGCTTTACTCGATACTCTACTCTTCTCTACTCTATTCTGCTTTACTCTATTCTGCTCTGTTCTGCTCTGCTCTGTTCTACTCTGCTCTACTTTGCTCTGCTCTGCTCTACTCTACTATGCTCTACTCTTTTCTACTCTATTCTGCTCTAATCTGCTCTGTTCTACTCTGCTCTTCATTGTTCTACTCTGCTCTACTTTGCTCTGTTCTACTCTGCTCTACTTTGCACTACTCTGCTCTGTTCTACTCTACTCTCTACTCTGCTCTGTTCTACTCTGCTCTCCTTTGCTCTACTCTGCTCTACTCTACTATACTCTGCTCTACTATACTCTTCTCTACTTTGCTCTACTCTGCTCTACTCTACTATACTCTGCTCTACTCTGCTCTGTTCTACTCTACTCTGTTCTACTCTTCTCTGCTCTACTTTATTCTGCTCTCCTCTATTTTGCTCTACTCTGCTCTACTCTGCTCTGCTATACTCTGCTCTACTCTATTCTACTATGCTCTTCTCCACTCTGCTCTGCTCTGCTCTCTCAGAAATTAAATTGTTTTATTGACCACAAAACATTTGTCTTTGAATTTGTAATTCCCACGATGCAACCTTAAAAACAGAATAATAGTCACTACCAAAACAGGACAGTCACTACTGAAACACTGGGTGTTTTGTTAAAAATAAAGTATATTGAGTTATCAACTAAAGTATTATGATGCTAATCGGTTACTTTTATGTTCTGTTTCATCAATTATTAACTCTGAAATCAATCTGATCAGCGTTATGCATTTTACAAAGAAAGATTGCATTTAGATTTTGAAGAATTCTATAATTTCAACTTCAAAATTTGTTAAAATATTATTTTTTATAGATTTAATTGTGAAAACCTTCAGTCAAAATTTGTAAAAATTTAAATCTTTAGACAACGGAAGGAACAAGCATAACAGGTTCATATATTTTTTTTTGTATAATAAAATACTATATGTTTCGGCAGTGACAAATTTTGAGAGAGGAAAAACATTCCAAAACAGTCCGAAAATACAATATAAAAATTTACAGTCATTTTACTAGATATGTGACCTTTACATATGGTACAATATATATAGGTATATTTTATTTTTTATTTTTATTTTTGAGGATTACTCCCATCTGAATATTTTTACTGAAGGCTGCAGTTTCAGGACCGCAGGTTTAGGACCGTTTAATTTTTTTTTTTTTTTTTAATAATGCTTTATTAACATGGCAATCATACAAAAAACATACAATACATACCAGACAATACGAGACATACTTAACATACAAGACATACAAAACATAAGGGTATCAAAACAATAATTGATTAATAATAAGTCTTTGCAGATGTCAATGGTTTTGGCTGCTTTGATGTTCTTCAGTCCTTTTAATGTTCCAATGTAGTGTTTCAGTCCAGTCTTGAACTGTTGGATCCGTGGTTTCCTGTCTGACCATCTACATTTGTGAATGAAGAATTTTCCAAATAAAATAAACAGGTTTAATATGAACAGTTTCTTTCGATTTATTCTGTCTTCTTCAGAAAATAAAAAATAATGTCCTTCAAGTAAAGGTCAACAGAATGACCAGTCAAAGTCCGAAAATAAAATTCCACATCGAACCAAAATAACCTGACACTGGGCACGCATAAAATAAATGACAAACAGTTTCCTCCTCCATTTTACACAACACACAGTTTTTGTCAATGTTTCTGTATCTTGAAATCAGTTTGTTGACTGGATAAATTGAATGGAAAATTTTAAAAGAAACTTCCCAAACTTTATTGGTGACACAATACTTCTTGTTAATCAGCCAAGCTGAGTCCCAATTAATATATTGAAATTCAGAGTCCCAGAATGCCCTAGCAGATGAAATTGCCGTCTCTTGGCAGAGACCCCGAATATGACAGTTGTTGCACTTTCTGTCTGCGAAGCGTATACCCCCCAACATTATGTTTGAAGTGAACTGTGCATTAATACCTAAGGTGCTACATCCCTGTAAAAGTCTCAAGAGTCCAGAGGGTATAGTGTCAAAGACAATTGCATATTCCTTAGGTGTAATAGGAATTCCATATGTGCTAAGAAAATCAGTATGACAGTAAGAATATAATTTTTAACCAAACTATCAATATATAAGGATTTGTTTTTGTATTTAATATATTTATTATTCCAAATTAAACATTTGTATGGAGAAAAGTTGTGTTTGTATGTAATTTATGAAGGTATTATTGGTGAAAAAGGTTTGAGTACCTGTAACAGTAGAATTTGTAGTTGTGTACAGTGATTTGTATGTGTATAAGTATGAGTTGTGTACTTGTACAGTGATTTGTATGTGTGTAAGTATGAGTTGTGTACTTGTACAGTGATTTGTATGTGTGTCAGTATGAGTTGTGTACTTGTAGATTTTTTTTCCTCTCCACAAATACAACACAACACTTACACATTCACAAATTCTTAATTACAGGTGCCTAAATCCTATTTTACAAGTCACAGATTAAAAAACTGACACGCTCACATTTTTTGCTCCTATTGTTGCAGTATATTTGGTGCAAAACTTATTTGTGCACCTGTATCAAACAATGTAAAGGTGTGGACAAAATCTGAATATGTGCAAACCTGAATGTGAACTTGTGCAAAAAATGTTCAATGTATGTAAAATAATTTCTCAGGAAATTATTTGTGTTCCTTTAAAACACAAATACAAATCGATAATTACAACTGCTTGAATCTTCCCCACGAGTCACAGATTCTGTTTCCCTCAACTACAAATCACAAATCGCGCCTCCACTGAGATATTTGGTGAAAAACTATCTGTGCATTCAGTTTATGGAGAAAAAGGCGGGTGCTGATCTGATATCTAACAGCAGCAGAGATAGTGATTTTGGCAACATTCAAGGTAGGTTGTATTTTTAACCACATTAATAAATAAACTGCGACGCGAAGCTGAGAAATTTAGCGTCCTGTCACTTTTCCTCTGTTTTGCTAACCCTCCTCCCTGCCGTGTGCATTTGTTTTCAATGAAGTGATTGAGAAATCAATCTGTGGAGCGGTTGATTATCATACACATTTTACAATGTGTATATTGTTGTAGTCTTATCTGTCATAAACTGTAACGAGATTACGGGGCGCGTGTGTGGCGCGGTCGTTGTGCCACCGAGAGGAGAGCTGTGACCCCGGGTCAGATCAGCTCATGCAGGCTTAGTTTTCAGACAAGACACGCGGAAGAGAGAGCGTCAGATTCATATGCTGTTTTACAAGACAATCCTTTGTAGGTTGAAAACGTGGATCTATAAAAATACTAGTTAATATCTATGCTTGAGAGATGGTAACGTAGTAAATTGACAATTACTCCTATTCTCCTCTCTCTGTGTGTTGCTCTGAGGTTTGAGGTGGAGCTGCAGGGTTGGTTGGAGGCGTGTGGGGAAGTTTGTGCAGTTGAACTTAACCGTTGTGAAACAATCAGAAAATAATGTGTTAATGATCTGATTCAGCGGCTTTCTTACTATCACCGCTCCCTCTCTTCATTCACTCTCTACTCTCTACCAGCATCAGTGGATCCGGTGTTTCTGTTTAACTGGTGTGTGTTAACGAGTGACTTTCTCCTATTACAAGATACGTTACAAGAGGTGAATGAGTCTTCTGAACACAATTTAACTTTAGCATAACTTAGATATTAAACACAGACGTGTATGTATTTAAAAATGATTAAACTACTAAAGGCTCTATGTCTACCTGTGTGCTGGAGCACCCCTAAAATGGGTCTAACAACGCCCCTGTGCAGAGGAAGAGTGACAGGACGCTAAATTTCT